TGGTGTTGTTGGTAGCAAACAAGAGATACCAATTTATGAGGAGCAGCAAGAAAACGATTATGATGCCACTGCGAGCACATCCGGCGTAACAGGATACGCTGGTGAAAACAATCAACATACCAACAGCGGTGCTGGTGGTGCGTTTAGTAATACGATTTACAATTTGCATGCAGCTGATACAACGCACAATAGCTTCCTCCCAATGTTAGACTGGCATGGCAAGACGGCAGCAGCTTTGTCAACAGCAGCCACATCAGCCTCACCATATACTGTAGCCTATCCAGCCTCATCATCATCCTCGTCGGGAACTTTGCATCAACATCAGTATCCACAACAGCAGCACGAACAACAATCGAGCGATAAAATCTCCGATGGCAATTTTCTACAACATTACGAGCATAATTCCGGTTACAATGAACTTTCAGCAGCAACGACATTTGAACAACAACGCCATCATCAACAACACTCACACCAACAACAGCAACAATATTTTAGTCCAAGTGCCGATAGTTTTTCGCCACATTCTGCATTCTCGTATGGCAGCAGTGCAGCGGATGCGAGTGAGCAAAATTTTTATGAACATCAGCACTTACCACCACACTCCCTGCCATCCTCAGCAACGTCCTCGGCAACAGCTCATGGCGGCGATGGCTATGATGACGCCACTAATTATCTATCGACCTCACATGCCACAAATACAAACAGCCAACCAGACGTTATAAACTATGTACCCTACCCGGTTGTGAAGAAGCTGCATGTACCTGTACATCAGCCTGTTAAGATTCCTGTCTCGCATGCTGTCATTGTGCCAATCAGCAAACCTGTGCCAATACAAATTCCTGTCGCACAACAGGTACAAGTGCCAGTCGAGAAGGAATTAAAAATACCTGTCGAACGTGTTGTGCCAATTCCAGTGGAAAAGCATATACCAGTGCCGGTGGAGAAACGTGTACCCTATCCCGTAGTCAAATATGTGCCCATCAAAGTACCACGTCCTTTTCCAGTTAAGGTGCCTGTTTTCAAAACTGTGCTCCACAAGGTTAAAGGAAGTTGGTGGTAACAAGTAGCTCTCAAGCATATCCACCTCCTACTATCAATTCATTTATTACTCTATATATACAAGTATACACATATATACAAACTATTTTCTATTGTCGTTAAATGTACGTATGAATGCAGAAATTTGCATTAGAATTTTAATTAAAATTTATTGGATAATTTATTATTGCATACTATTGTATACAACATTGAATAAAATACTTAATTAAATAAATAAAAATAAAATTCATGTTTTTGCTTTTTGTAATTACAAGGAAATTAATTGCACTTATTAAGTAAGAGCATAAGGAAGGCATTAAAAAGTAGCACTTTTATTAAACTAATTAAATTAATTTATTATCTAAACGTAAATACAATATTTCGAAAAATAATTAACAGATGCGTGTTCCCATCTAAAAAAGCATCCATCGTTAATTTGTCACACTAACAACGACGAAGGAAGTAATAAACAGATATTGTAGAGAGGAAATATATAAAAACTATTATTAAATTGTGACTTTTATTTTTATGTGTTCATATGAATAAGTTGATTTTATTAAATGACATTTGTTTAAGAACACACCCATCCCAAGACCTCATATACTGTTCTCCATTAGACTGGACTCAGTATAATTTCAATAGAGAAGAAAATTTTATAAAGCTGCAAAGGCATTATTCCTTTTTTAATCTCAAAAATTAGCATGAGTTCACCAACTAATATAACCGTATCACTGGAATAGTTGGAATGGTGTAGACTACTAATAGTTCAAGCTTGAGTTTAAACGAAATTTTATACACTCTTCATTAAGTCTTAAGGAACTTTTATAAATTCTTTTCTTGTAGAAAACATACCATTCTATATGCATCTTAGACAATAAGCATAACTTTTCTTGCCACTTTCAATACCACATATATTCTATTAAAGTTGATATGGATAATATGCTCGATAAACACATGTTTTAACCAATAAAAACTGAAGAAAAGTGAATTGACCTCCCTTGATTGCCAGCACGAAATGGATCTTTGGCAATGACCATAACTTTACTTTTCTTCAATGAGCCAGTTTTAGTACTATATAAATATCAATTAAAGTTCCTTATATCCCAAAAAGGCTCTTAAGGCTCCATAAACTTGAAACTTAAAAAATATAAATCACATGGATTGATTTCCACACCACATAGACATATCTATAATTTTCATATCGTATGCTTCTTCGTGGAAGTTTCTAGTCTTTAAAATTTCTTTTATATTTGATGGAAGTCTTAAATAAACTAATTATAATATCCCAGCAAATATCATAAATAACAAATTTATCAATCCATCACTTAATAGAGGGCTTTAAATTTTATCACAGAACTGTTGTAGGAATCGTCTGCGGCTTCGGAGTATCTTTGTAATAACTTAAAATTGTTGTAATATTTATTAGAAGTGGTTCACCACACTAAAAAATCCCATAAAGTTTTTCTAGTTATCAGTAACCACTCAATCATCATGCATTTATCCCTGTTTTATAGAAATTATTTCAGTTCGTATTAGAGTCTAACCTAACACAATGTTCTACACCCGAACCAATTATTTCAGTGTGCGCTACACATCATTTGCTCTATGGATGGATGTTGTCAATTTGAGAATGTTTATTGTCAAAGCAATTGATGATTGTTTGAATGAGAATTACATCGACCATAAAATGTAAGGAGAGTCTGGTAAGTTCCGAGTACTGAACCATTATTTTATTATACAGTGTTAGGCAATTGAAGTATTACCAACTACACACAGATATACCTGTTAAATTGATATTGCCAACTACGTGAAGTTCATACGAATGACAGCTGTTTATATTGTTTGCAAGCTACCACAAGCATTGGGGTCTTAGTTTTATAAAACATAGGTGCTTTAAGGTTAATTTTTTCTTGCCGATAATGGCGTGTCTTTTTATGACGAAAGAAACGATTTAAAAGTTAGATGGATTCGAATAGCAAAGAAAGGACAAAGACAAAATTTTAGGTGCTTTATATTTCGCTGGAAAATCACAACCAGCTATTGTTCATGAACTCAAACAGCTCAAAGAAAATGGAATACTTGTGTATCACATCAGATATCGTTATAGTAGTACAGGCAGTGTCGCCAAATGCCATTGTGGTGGACGAAAAAAAAATGGTCCGGAAATTGAAGGCTCGACTTTAAGGAAATCCAAGTCGTAATGATAAACAAATGGCCAAAGAACTAAAAATATTCCAGCCAAGGTAAAGCCTTACAAGTTCCAAAAGACATAAAATCTTAAAGTAAAGCAACAAAAAGTTAGACTAGAAAGAGCACAGGACTACGCTTGCACGAATGTGGCGAATTCCCATAGATTGTGTTCTCTGATGAGAAAAATATCTCTATTGTGCAGTTTATAAACTTTCAAAATGATCTTGTTTCCTTAACTGTACCCACTGCCGAAAATTTGAGACAACGAATTGACACCCGAAGTAATTTTTCATCTCCAGTAGTGGCATGGGTAGCTATGCCCGCCGAAACCTATGTATCTCATATTGAACTAGTTAACCAATTATTTAAATAATACACATTTCTCAATTAATTTTAAAAAGTATATGTTACTGTCGTCAATATTAAATCACGATAGTCTGTTAGTCTGTATTAATTTTCAGGGTACTCAAGGACTGTAGACTACAATATAGTCAAAATATTGATGACAGGAAAGTATAATTGTAAGAAGTTATTTTAAAATGTGTGCTGCTTGAACAATTAACCAATTAGTCCATTTAAAAATATATAATATAAATGAAATTTGATTATTATAATAATAAATTTAATTCTAAAAACGTTTTTTAATCTTACAAATGTTTGATGCGCCAGTAAAGTTCATCATAAATTTAATAAATATTTATTCCATTTAGTTTTTAGTATAGAATTATTTTATTTATGCAGTATTCATTATTTGTCCATTATACACTATTTGCTTAATAAAGCTATAAATTTTGGTCATTATTATTTGTTTACTTTCCTATTAAGAATTTTCCGGTTTCAATTATATTCGTAATTTAAAAATTCAATATAGCATAATTCTTCCAGAAATTATTATTTATCACGTAATTTTGTTTATTTTAAACATTTTCTCTATGAAGTTCAAATATTTTCATATATATTATATTAAACAGAGCAACATTCAAATATGAAAAAGTGTGGAAGACATGGAAATAGGCAAGCGGTGAGGCCACAAAACCGCAGGATATTGCATACGATTGTCCTGCATTTCATTTGAGTAAATTGAAAATGAAAATATTTGTTTTTGTTGCATATTTAAATTTGTTTATATTTCATATGCATATATGTAATTGTGCCAAAACCAAAGTAAATATATACTTTTATATAAATTTAAAAAACAACACGCGAATTTTGTGGAGCAAAGCGACACGAACTCACATGAAGCAAATTTCATGAAACAATGCAACAAAACACGCTTTGGCCATTGGTGACGTGCTGTTTAAATTATGACTCCAGCAAGGACATTAAAAGCACAGTGGGATATATTCACCAACCACATGAAGATTATAGGTGCGGTGGAAAGTGACTCCTGTCGACTCTGTCATGAGGAGAAGGAAATATCAGAACATATTCCAGCGGTGGCAAGACGTAGACTCGACTACTTTGGAAACGAGATCTTAGTCCCAAATCAAATAGGTAAAATTAAGCCTACAGCAATTACGAGATTTATGCATAGTCTAGAATTGTTTTAGTTAGACCTTTAGGCGCACAATAGATCTTTTAGGCCGAGGTGCATTCATAGGCTATTATTTAATAATACACCAACCATAAAAAATATGAATGTAAATATTTCAAGAAAATATAGGTACAATAATTATACTAAATATAAACGTTGTGGGCGTTTATATGTGATATATTTACAGAAGAAGTCAACACAAAGATATTTTCAAACATACGAACATGTATACTATGTAACCAGTTTATGTCAAATTTTGTTCTATATTTATCTTGTCATTTTTCTTATCACAATAGCCGCAATTTTTTCTTTCAGAGTAGCAAAAAGTGTACCTACGCTAGGAAGTGAGGTTAATAACGAAGCCTCTATTAAAGAAATACAGAGACTCCCCAACTTATCAGCGTACCTAATGACATGTATTCTGTCATAAACAAGGAGCACGCAGAGAAAGAATTACATGTTGCTTGCTATTAACAAATCCATTGATCCACAGTAACAAATAAATGTTGAAGAGATGATATGATTCGTATATCCTAATTTCTAATAAATAGACTCTGAGTATTAACGTGACACTATCATAATGATTGTTCCGAAAAAGCATTACTCTAACACATTCCTTTAGAAAGTTTGGGAATAATAAAAACAATAATAAGTTCTGCAGCAGATTTGAATACGTGAAATAGTTTAAGATATTTTCTATTTGGAATGCAAAAATTTAAAAAAGTTTGTATATTTTCGTTCACCTGATCTTGTAATTACCATATTAAAGTTAGATAAAAAGAAGAACAGAATATTTGAAACGTAGAATCGCAGTTTTTCCCTGACGGTCCCTTAAACTTAGAAGATGTTCTGTTTTTTTACTCTCCTTGTTGGAGAGCACGTTATAAAATCGGACGTGCTTAAAATAACTTAATCGCCTATGACCATTAACTAGTGCTGTCGTAGCTATTCTATCATATTTTACAGATTTCACCAAAATGAGATTGATAAGGTTGGCTTAGGTTTAAAAAATATGTGGTAATGCGAATTACAACATTTACTCTCAGACAGTAGATAAGTAATGTTCTTGAAATTGCCAAGAGTAAGCAAACTATAAGAATTTGTTAAGACACCTCCGAGATATTTGGTTTTTTTGATAGAATTGTGGTTTTTCCATAAAGAAAATGTTACTACTATTATTTCTAAGTAAAATTAATAAGACGTTTCAAGCGTCTTTGAAATCTGCTTGAGCAGTTCATTAATGTGAATAGATATAGATTGCTTTATATCTATTGCATTCATGTTAATAAAACTCCACA